CCAGCCAATGACGTGACAGGCCTGTGGCTGAAAACGCGGCTCATTAATAGAGAAAGGCAAATGAGGCAGACGAGCTGTCAACTGCCAGCACCACAGAGACATGAAGGAATGCAGAAGCAGCTGAAACTTGTTAATAGAGGTTCATCCCAGGTCAGTGACAGACACACCGTAAATGTTACAAATGATCAGTGTTTAGAAGGCAGCCTCTGTCTAAGCCAAGGTTATTTGAACATGTGCAAAACTTTGGGTCATTATAAATGCTTTCAGTCAATATAGATAGTCCATATGTGTATCATGGGGGTCATATTTTCTAAAAGCATATATCTTAAATGCAATTATAATGCATTCAAAAACTTCAGGGTCTTAAACAGGCACGGGTCAGTGGAGGGTTAAAATGCAATTTTTGTATTTCTGCCGAAAGGTTAAACAATGCCATCTTTTAATCGTAATAGCCTGTGACAGCTTTTAGATGGCAGTCAAGGTTTTATGTAATCAGGAAAGTCAGAAATGCTCCTGATTTTTCTGAGGTCTTTTGTACAAATAACAAGTTACAGCTTCACATTATTCTCATGTCTATTAAGAGCATGCCACGGGAATACCGGTGAATAAAACATCACCTCATGCTGAATCAGCCTGTCATGACAAAATGATGGACACGGACAGAGTAGATGATGAGTGCGCCTAACCAAACGTGTAATATACTGGACAAGTTGTTGGATCAGGTCAAACTCACTGTTCTGCAATGATTCCTTTTCATGGTTCTGACTGTGGTTTGGTTTACAATTCAAAACATTTGGGACTGATGCTTTTCATCCACTGACAGTGGGATTCTGGACACGTCGCCTGCATCAGATGGGATGTTTGTAATGATCTGTGTTCCCGGAAATTAATATTACTGCAGGAAATGTCCAAAATGTAATAGAGACACCCCATTTCTAAGCAGCTAGAAGTGCATTTGGGTTATATTATTTTAGTCACATGCTCTGTGCTCTGGAGTCTGTCTGATTCTAATAAGCTGCACAGTACAAGTCTGAGACAAACAACACCTTGTGTCAGTGATGTTAGTAAAGACACTGAGCCTCTACTTACCTTGCTAACTGCCTGTCACTCACTACAAGTTAGTATTGTGCATGGAGAGTACAAATCAACATCAGGCAAGAAATGTTTTTTATTTGGCCTAAAAGGGCCATAAATAAAATTTTATTCTCTCAATTTATTAACAAGCCACAGGAAGGTCCATGGCTGTCTACCACAGCACTTAAAACATTTCATTCTGGCGCAGTCCACAAAGACTTGAGATCCATTTGAGATACTCTGAGCCACTGAGAACTCTGAAGGCTCTCTTCCTTGCTTCCTTAGAAAAATAAAACAAAGTGTGGTAATACTGTACCAAACTGGAGGAGAACAGCGGGGTGATCCTTTTCACACAGAGGAGGGTGCTTTAGTAAGGGCTATGAGCGTAGCTGGGGAGGCGTGAATCAAACAGCAACAACAACAACAATATTAAACTACAAAAAAAAAAACAACTCAAATTTGTTTGTTTTTTTGCAAAGCTGAAGCAGAATGCGTTTGGCTTTCAACCACTGCAGGATTGCCAGGACCCCACCCCCCCCACCCCATCAAATCAGCTTCTTCTCTCATGTTTCCCTATTCCCTCCCCCGTCCACTGTGTTTTGCTTAAAACTGAAATAATGTTTATAATGATAAAACCTATAGCAGCAAAGAGTAACAGAGGAATAACAGCTAGAAACAAGTAACCCCTGGATTTAAAAGGAAGGCATGGGTTAAGAGAGGTCCATGGGTTTCAGCCCGATGTCAGGCCTGTGAACAGGGATGGGTGCCCCTCTGAGCTCATCTCCCCTTGGTGGGCACCCTGCCAAGTGCGGCCATGATGCCACCGAATCGTTCACACAGCTCCAGGGTGGAGTAGGTGGGCAGCTTGGGGGGATCGTGGAAGGTTTTGATCTCCGTCGAGCAGTCCAGTAACTTTGGAAGGAAGTCAGTTAGCTTTTCCTGGAGATTGGCTGCCAGCAGGAGGAGGACAGACAGAGAGATAGTAAATGACTAACGACATGAAAATCAGATTGCTAAATGCAGAAATCATAGGGTAAATGTTTTCAATGTGATATAAGTAGTTTGAAAACGTGTTCCAGAACAAAACAGATTGTAAAGTTCTGGTGAGCTGGGTCTGGGCGATAATACTTAGCTTTTCCTGAACAAAGGCCAGGAACTCAAGGGAACATGCTCTGTGAACTCAGACTGGAACATACTGATAAAAGCTGAATCCTCTTCCATCAGGTTTTTCTACCTAGAAATTCAGTTCTTTGTGAAATCTGATTATAGCATGGATCAGGTCACACATTTGTCAAAACCTGACCCATGACTGAGAGTGTGGTGTCTGAACCTGGCCTGAGCCCAACGCAGTTGAGTTTGTACAGTGTTTTCCCCTTTATCATTAAACAAATTAGTCATTTAAGTGCTCCAGCTGTCCAGCCTAAGGTTTGACCTGCATGTCTGAACTTGACCTAGAACCAAGCACAATTTCTAGACGGACTCAGTTTGGGTATTAACACTAAATCTGATGGACAATCTTAAAACTCCATAGCTGTTTGCCACAACTGCCTTTACTTGAGTAATCAAATAAGTGTTTTGTTTACAATATTGTCAGAAAATAGTGAAAAATGCCGATCTCAGTTTCCCAGGGCCTGAGGTGTCTTCAAAATGTCGTTTTGTTCAAAAATCCAGAAGTATTCAGTTTGCTGTGCAGTTACATAAACAGTGAAAAGCTGATACATTTTCAGACTAATATCTAAATCAATGGTTTTTCTTTGTTTCTATTATTTGCTAGACATCAAAACAATACAATGATACATTTGTAATTAAAAAAGGTGTAAAGAAAGAAAAATGTTTCAAATTTTAGACTCTTGTAAGTTAAGGTGGTTGATGTATTGGCAATAATGTGCAAAGCTGGCAAAAGGGTAAACACTGTCTACTCAAACATATTTGGCTGCACTCCAGGAAGCCTTTCAAATGTGTCAACTAAGCACTGGCCTAATTATCCTGGTCTTCAGCAGGGGTAGGGAAGAATTTATTAGTAGCCTAAGACTTCCGCTCTCCAGAAATATCTAGCAGGCTGAGTCTACTCCTGCTCCCTCAGGAGACTCACATTCCATCTCTTGGCCCAGGTAGGAGCACCAGCGGTTCCTCATGTCTTCAACTGCCAGCAGATCCTTCTCAGTATCATGGACCAGCAGCAGAGGGATGCAGGGCACCACCAGCTCGTTCATGATGCCTAGGCCCGTGGTCACCTCTGGTTCTTCTCCTGACTCGAACATGGCGGCCGCTTGCTCGTTTAATTTCTATTTAAAAAAAAAAGAAGATGCTTAATGAGTCTTTAATACATAGAGAGCTAAAATAGCAACATTAATGGATGTTCTAACTCTTAATATTCCTCTTTGTATTTTCATTTAAGGGATAATCATGGTGTAGGTTTTGCAGATACAGTTCCCATAATTTGAGGGCTCTGGGACATGTAAACAGGAAGTATAATGTTGCCATGGAGTCAGCTGGTTGAGGTGGTAGATGTGGCTACAACTTTTTTTGCCTGTTTTCCTTATATTTAGGCAAAGTAGCACAGCTAAAAGTATGTCAAATTGGCAATTAGCAGTTCCAAGGAGCGGTATGAATCTTGTTGAAAACTACTGCAATGGGGTTCTAAATGTCTGAACCTATTAAGTACCACTGCTGCACAACTGCTAATCGTGTTGATAAGCAGGCCACATCAGCGAGACCAACAACAATAGCCAGTTTCCTGTTGGGTTGAAAACAACTGGGATGCACCTGTCCCTTTCACCTCATGCAGTATCTCGTGCCTTCCTCAGGGTGATGCTGGATTTGTGAAACATCCAAGTACATTAAACCCCATCAGCTCTCTCACACCCCCCCGGTAAGGTGTCTTTCACCGTTTGAAAACCTCAACTCCAAACTCAAGACAAGGTCAAGCCACACTCACAGATTTAGACAGAAGAATAGTGTGAATGGGGAAACAAAGATTACCAGTTCATATTATCACTCTGTTCAAGAACACACTTTGCTAACTTATGTTATCTTTTTACACCAAACAATACTTTTATTTTGATTTGTTCAGATTTTATTTCACTATTTTTGTTTCGGTTTTGCTAGTGACGTTTTCCATTTGTTCTAAGACAGAAATACTAGGCAGCTCAAGTACAAACAGTAATTCTCCAGACATCATGAATATCACAGTGTACCTTATAGCCACTGGAACTAAAGTGGGCTTTGACATACAAGCGTGCGTGTGGACAAGCTTTCCTTCCCATTCCTGGCCTCCACCACCTTGCTGTTACAGACAAACTCCCTGACCTCCTCTCTCTGAGGAAACAAACTGCTTTTTGCAAGCCAGCTTGGAGTTGGGGACTATGAGGCTGGATTTGTAAAATATCCAAGTACATTAAACTGTGTCAGTGTTAGTAGTGTTTTCAATTCAAACAAAAGCTGAAGGTAAACAGCTGAGCGGACGGAGCCAGAGTTTCTGGCCAAAGATCTAAGATGTCCGATCAGGCAGTGCAGAGCTGAGGTTTGAGGTTAGCCGAGGACACGCTTGTATCTCATGGTAATGTGTTTACACTCACTGGCCCTCCTGTTTCCTATTCCCACTCCAGTGATTACATTATGAGCACAATGCCGGTGTAAGGTTACTGAGTGCAGCAACGAAAAGGCTGCTAAAGACCAGTATGAGGCTGACCAAAATACCCTGTGCACAAACCAATAATACCAGAGCCTGAAGCTTGGTGGGAGTGAAATGAAAAGGGGCTCACATCACAACGCTGAAAGGATTTTCATCTGTCAGTATCAGATGAAAAATCTTCAGCGGAATCTTTTGTGGGCTGCAAGTAAGCCAAAGCAATACCTCAGCAACAGCAATTTGATTACAGTACCACAGCTCAGTACTGAATGGGGAGATGTGTGGCCATGTTAGTTTTGCTGAGTCACTAGCTGAGGAAGTTTGACACAGAGGGAAGGGAGTGACAAAGAGCAGACAGGGATCACAGTGAGCAACTGCTGGACACCAAAGGTTTCCGTTCCAAAACAGACCTTGCACAGAGGGAATACCCTCCTTGTAACCACTTTGTGTAATTAAAGAAACGTGACATATGGGAATAAACATATCCATTCATTTTAACAGACTTGACAAGGTATCTGAACAAACTCACCAGCAAACAGTCTCGACGGTAATGACCGAGCAGCTCCTCATCATGCCCTCTGTACAGCCCTTTTGACAAAAGCTCTTTGTTGTACTGATGTGCATAAATCAGATACATCAGCGCCTCCATGAAACTGTTGAACAGATTTTACATTCAGATAAACTAGCCTGCACTGAAATATTCTTAAGTAAACCATTCTACAGAAGAAATAAACTTGATGACCCCACTGTGCATGACTATAAAACTCAGACAGTTGCACAGACAGTTAATTGCTGCCCTCTGCAGGAGACAAGTGGAAATTTACTGGCTGCTATACATGGGAAAAATAAAAATAAATGTAATGTTCAACAATCCACTTGTCTAAGAAGATTACTGGAGACTTGAGTTCATTGATTTTCCAAAGTTAGATATTGGGAGGAGTACTGGAAAGGTGTCACCATACTTGGCCTTCTGAAAGAGTTCCAAGCCAGTCATCATCAAGATGGTTGTCTCACGGAAATTCCTGTAGTCCTGGTGCCACATCTGATTAAGACAAACAAAAGTTACCATAGGAAAGTTCCCAGAAAAGCAAAGATAAAATGACTGAACTTCTAATTATTAACTATGTCACAGCAAAAGCTTTAACGAGAAAACAAAATGCTACCTTAAAGGCAGACTAGTATTTTAGATAAATAAAAACCAGATGACACCACTGCTGACCTCGTATTCATCCATGTTGACTTCCTCAGGCTTAATTAGGTCCAGTTTGGCACGTGCCACATTCATAATGCTCTTACATCTGTGGGGCAGATGGGGAGACAGGATGAAGAACTGGTGTTAGCAATGAGATGGTGAGCCATTGTGAGGTACTCCAGGAGATGAAATGGTCCACCCTGCCCCTAGGCTTTAACATGGCCTAATGAATTACTCTTTAGTGCTGAGAGGAGAAGTGAAACACTCCTCCGGAGGCTCCTATTGAGGCCACATACACACATAAATCTAATTATCTTGCTCAAAATAGAGGAGAAGGGAGAAATCAATTTTTCACTCATGAATATGAATTGAGGCCAACAAGCAAAGCTGAAAAGTTTCAAGAGATCATAAGGGGTATTGTACACCTTAATGACATGAACATCACAATGTTAATGGGGAAGAAATCTTGATATTTTCCAGCAGTATATAAAAAAAAGTAATTACTGGACATGTATCTCTTAACATTTGCATTTGAACAAGAGATAGAGGGAAATCTCATCAGAGAGGACTGTACTGATGAGCGTGTGTGCTTACAGTAAAACCAGGAGGCCTGCTGAGGACATTGTATGTCAGGGGTCTCTGCTACCCTCTTCTGGTCATTTTGAAGAGGTAATTTTATATAACCCTAACTTCATTCTATAATGTTCCTAGTTCAAGACAACAAGAGAGGAAAAAACAGAACACACTGAATGACTTATGAGATTATTAAAAACACAAGGTTGTAGAAGGCATATAAGGAGTGAAACATCTAAACTACCTTTCATCGAAGGCCAGGTTCCTGTCAGCAAACTGTGTGAGCAGAGTCCTCTCCAGGATCTTCTTTGGTGCCTGGTTTTGGATAAAGTAGACAATGATGTGCTGAAGTCGGTAGTCAATCTCGGGCGGTGTGTCCTCTTGGGCAAATCTCAGGAGACGAGCATACTCCAGCTTTATGGCCTAACCAGAGTGAAAAAGTAGGAACATGTAATGGTTAAATCTCTGAGGCTGAGGCGGTACAGTCATGGTCACCCCTTTCTATTCAGCCTTCTCTCATCTGTATGTCAGGAGCTCAGATATCCTAAATAACAAATGGCTTGATTGCTTCCAAGAAGATAAATAAACAGCAGGACTAAAAACTGTCCAAATAATTCCGTAAATGTTGGACAAAGATGTTGATGATAAACAATCTTTCCTGTCTTTGCTGTAAAAAAAAAAACAAAAAAAAAAAACAAAACAAGTTATAGTTTTAATTGGCATTTCAACATGGATGCAAATAAACAACACTTCTGCAGTAAACTAACATGTCTGGTACATGAATGCCAAACATTTGAAATACTTTTGGTGGACATGCATATTTACTCACTGCTGTTACATTGTTACATATAAACTATATTATTATTGTTCTTTCTTAATACATGGCTACTATTAGATGTTTATTTGCTCCTCAATTTACTTTTTTTTGTCACTTGATTTATTGGAGATTTAGAAGTGCTGGTTTTAAAAGGATGGGTTGTAAGCATTGAAACCTTTTTGTCCAGACCATTTGAAATAAGATTATTTTGACCACATTAGAGGTATTGACTGGATGCAACTGATTTCAATAATAAGAAGCATCCCAAAAGGTTGAACTGACTCAACATCTGAACAACCGTCAATTCAGAATTGAACCTCAGGGCATTAGTAAGGTTTAGGTAGTGCTGCTAAACATTTAATACCATCTACTGTGCTGTAAGAACGTTCACAAGAGAAGACAAAGAAGAGGACTGACATAAAGGGAAGGGGAATGGAGGTGACAATGGAAATGAGAACAGTAAAGGAGAGACAGGGTACCTTAAAAAAGGCTGCCTCAGGCCCATTCTTTTCATATACGCTGCTGGATTTGCCAATGGCCATTATTATACCCTGCATGTTGGGGGTCATCATTGCCTGCCCAGGAAGCAGGAACCACGTTAAAAAAACAACAGATCCTTGTGACGAACCAAGCAAGGTCAGCCACTATGTTGTGTTCTAAGGCACTACAATAAAGCATACCACAGTCAGGGCATGCCAGACATCACACAGCAGTTCATGCATTAGTTACAGTGACACAACTGTGAGGGATACAGCCAGTGCAGTGGTACAATGTGTAATCCTCACAATCCTCACAATGTGTGAAAATCAAGGCAGCCATTTGATAGCTGTGTATGACAGATAGATAAAAGTGCAGGGAAGTGAGGGAACAGGCCGGAATACTGACTGACAGCAGCAAGTTCACACTCATCTGTGCCAAGTTTAACAAACATTTGGTATCAGATGAAGAACATACTACGGCTTACTATTCATATGACAACTTGAGACCATGTCTTGACTTTTTCCACATAGCAGTCTCTCATGAGAAGAAGCAGACCTATGCTATCTGCAAAAGCTCAACCTGCCTTTGTGCCAAGATGGAGATTGGCTAAAGAAGACTTTTCACACAAGAGTGATGCAGAAAGGCCAACAAAGAGGCCATATTTGTGTGGCATTTCAGCTCCAAGCCAATTCTGAAACCAGTCTGCATGACGTGTCAGATTTTCTCAGGTGTGAAAAATCTTGTGTAGAGTCATGTGAATGGCCAATTATGCTCTCATTCCATTTATCAAACTGGCACAGACTTCTCAGCATAAAAAGGAAGACAAGATTCATCTGGGTGAGAGCTACCTCATCATCATACCCTCCCTCTTCTGACTCAATGACAAAGGTGCACACGTTAGGAATGGCCACCTCTACTGTGCGCTGGCCAGGGGACTCGTCCTCTGTGACCAGGTCAGGAGGAAGGGTGGAGGGGGTGTCCACCTGGACCTCTGGCTGAGGGGAGGTGGAAAGGGGAACAGACTGCAGAAAGATTGGGACAGATGAAACAGGAAGGAAAGAGGACTGACTGAAAGGCAAGGAACATTAAATATAAACAACAGTGAAATATTGACAAAATGATAAGATTTGATTCTGTGACATAGTCATGGCCAACAATACTGGCACCCCTACATTTCTGTCAGACAGTGCACCACTTCTCCCAGAAAATTGCTGCAATCACAAATTTTCATTAGTTCACCCTTTCACTATTCTTTCATTCCAGCTGAGAGTCTGCCAGTGCCCGAGTGTGATGCGGACCTCCCTCCCAGTCCACCCCCCAACTCAAAGCCGCTCCGCTCATTATCAACTATCAGTGCTCAACTCAGACTGCATCCTGCTCCACTCAAATCGCACCCAGTCACTCCAAAAAAAAAAGGAAATAATTAGCATGCATTTCACGTTTAGCTTAAACCGTAGCCTTACATCCCAAAGAACGGCTATTTTTTTCCAAATAAAAATGGTTTATTTCAAATTACAGTTAGACCTGTGTAACAAGGAATACAACACAAAAAGTCACGTAAAATTCAATGAATCAGTGAATCAAAGCTTGGGCATGCTTCAGGCTCGTGGTGTGAGCGGTACTGGAGCGAAATTGGAGCAGGACATAGGGTGACGCTCCCTCCTTTTTTAAAAAAGCCGCTCTGTCCTGTCCAAAATCTGCCCGCTCGCACTTAGCTCCACTCACATGCTCTGCATGCCATCTAGTGAAGGTTATAAGAAGCGGTTTTTGAACCACGAATAGTCATTCGTGCTATATAGCCAGATATGGGAGAGCTCTCAACAAATCAAACCACATCAAAACAGACATGACTAAGTAAACAAATAGCATAGGCCATACCTAAAAAAAACTACGCCTCATAAATTGCTAAGCTGTCAACCTCATCACTTGACATTGTGCTCCTGCGATGCCGCCATGACGTCATTATTCAGCTAACGCTAGCTTCTGTACAGTTTGTCACCACCAGGTGTCGGCAGTTCTCGTTGTAGCTAGAAAACAGGACATGAACAGGAGGGGCAAAGAGTGGTCAGGAGTGGCATCTGGTATGACTCTGAATCTCACTAGATTCTCTAGCAGCTGAGAGGAAATTCAGTAGAGTACCTTTAACATACAGGCCAGTCATATGATCCCTTGTTAACAGAAAAATATTGATTGCAGCAGCTTTAAAACTCTTACATTTTAAGAGCCAAAACTGACAACCCATTTAATAAATAACCCAGCATCCCGAGCAAACAATTACTTCTACTTATGTAGTCTGGGAAACGAAAGGACTGTGTAATAAAATAGGAAAATATAAAACCACAGATGGATGCACTGTGGAATGATGGTACAGTAATTATAACAAACTGACATGCAAAAAAAAGACAGGTGAACATGATGGGTGACAATGACTTGGTGTGTGGGTGAGTAGTGTACTGCATGTCTTTCTGTATTTTACATACAGCACTTAACAATGCTTCGGGGCTTCTCTCCTCCTGTTCAGCAGCAGCCTTGGAGATGGCCCTCTCCGTGTCCTCCTGCAGGTGCTTGGAGTCATTTGTGGGTGAGGGCTGCTCCATGTACTCTGGATCCTGCTGGGGCACTGCACCAATGACACCATTAGATAAATGTAGAAATCCATGGCTGTTTATATTTCATCATTTCAATATTAAAACAGACAAGTATTTTTAAGTGATTTTATATAAGTTTGTTATCCATACAAATGCCAAAACAGCAGTGTGAAAACTAGAAATTTACCATTAGTGTGCAGAAATTATCCAACACATTTATTAATATCCAGGCTTACATGTAGAAAGGTGTTGGACAGGTATCTCAACTGAAATGTAGCAACAGTATGTCCAAATTAAAAGTATCAACTGGGTTCCTTTACATGTTTGGCTAAATTACATCCTAGTATCATACAAGAGCTCAAAGTACCGGTACCTTTACACCTCACTGAAACAATGCTGAAATCTTCCTGAAAAGTGTTGAAATGAAAAGCTCTTTTGTGATCTTTGTCTGCATGTCTTTGGTCTTTCCATATAACAAAACAAAAAACCTTTGACAAGAGCTGAATTCTTACTCATTTTAGAAGGATCTTCTAAAATAGCCTGAACAAAATTACTGGTACCTCTTAGAAGTGGTGATAAATAGGTAAAATGTAGTGATTGTAGTGTAGTGACTGATCAGACTGGTGTCCTCAATCTCAGAATCGGTCATTCAGTTTATTTCAGTGGAGAACAGTGCTCATTGTGCTGCTTGTATCACTGTGTGCACCACACTGAACATGGACAAGAGAAGTTAGGGAGCTGTCTGGGGCAATAAGGAAGAATAGAATTGCATGGCCAAGGTAAAGGCTACAAGACTATCTCCAAGAAGCTTGATCTCTGTTCCTGTGAACACAGTTATTAATATTATTAACAAGTTTCAAGGCAGAGACACACCAAACTGACATGGAAGAACTAGCAGCGACGTAGGCCGACTGTTGCATTGCCTCAAACAAGGAGAAACCACACTAAAATGGGTGAAATCATGGATACTACAACGACAGGCTCAAAGGGCTTTCCCGATCTGTTCTCTGCTAGTGCACTGATTAGCTTTGATGAACAGCCAATCAGAGTGGTCTCTCTCGCTGATGAGGGATGCTGCCAATTCAACATGCCGAACTGACTGAAAAGCTGCCGACAGGGTCCAACTTGGAGAGATGAGGGCGAGACGCTCACTGACTGCTTGACAAAAACTGAGTAAAGGCCATGTTGATAAACCACAATGCTTCTAGGAGAATGTCCATTGGTAACAACGGTCACAATGGTTCTTTGTTCAGTTTAAAAAAGGGGTTTTAAAAAGAAAAAAACACCATCCCCACTATGAGATACATAGAAGGTTCAGTTATGTTACATGGACGCTTTGCTGTGCCTTGAAACTGTACAGTTCACAATGAAGCAGAAGATTCTGAAGGCATTTCTGAGAGTAATGTAGAGCCCAGTGTCAGAGCTCTGACTGGTCGCAGCTCATGGCTCTTCCAACGCGTCATTAACAAAATGTACATCTAAAAGCTTCATGGACGTGAAGAAGACATTCTGAAGTGGCATGTGATGAGGCCTGACCTTTATCCAGCTGAACATCTGTGGAAACAGCTGTATTCTTTCAAGTAATGTGCCCCAACAGGGGATCTCTGGAGAGACCTGAAAATTGCTGTGAACCAATGCTGCCCATCCAACCTGGTTGACCTTGAACAATTCTGCTAAGAAGAACGGAAAAAAATTCCAAAAGAAAGGGGCCAGGCTTGTAGCTTTACTCTCAAGAAGACTGAGGTTGTCATTGCTGCCAAAGGTGCTTTAACAAAACACTAAGTAAAGGGTCTGAATACTTATGTAAATGGGACATTTCAGGCTTTTATTTTTAATACACTTTCCAAACACTGAAAAAAAAAAACAAAAAAAAAAAAACAGTTTTCACTCTATCACTGTGGAGTACTGTGCGTAGATCGATGGGAAAATAAAAGAATTGAATCCATTTTAAGATGAGCCTGAAACATAACAAAATGTGGAAAACCTAAAAGGGCCTGAAAACTTTCCGTACTGATTGTATCAGAGAGAGTTAGAGCTCTAAGGCTGCCTGTCAATATTTCAAGGTCATTTCCTCATCTAAGTCTCCAGGGAACAATTTCAGCTTCTTAGAACCAAGTATTGATTCACAATTAAGTATTCTACTCACTACTGTGAGTGTCATGACCCTGACCTGTATTGTCTGGAGGGCTGGATTCAATACTCATGGGCTGAGGGGAAGAAGAAGAAGTGGAAGTGCTGGATGTAGCTGAGGCAGCAGCAGCTGCTGTGGCCAGAGCCAGTTTTTCTTGCTGGGCCTTGCGGGCCTGCAGGATGTCCCACTCCTCAATCTCCTTGTCAAACAGCTCATTGTCCTCCTTCACGTATTGCTTTAGGTCTGCAGGCAGTTTGTCCATACCACTGAGTATCTGCCCTGTTTCTTTATCAAATTCCTCTGCAAAGACAACAGAGAAGAACAATGAACATATTTGGTCTGTACCAAAACATGAAAGCTTATTAAATGCTGTCTTTGGAGTGAAACTCTTTCAAGAGAGAAAACAGTAATATTTTTTCTTAGTGCTGCAGTACCTAAGCACCAGAACACAAGACACATTGTTGCTATCACCCCCACTCAATAAACTGAAGAAGTTCTTTGCTTAATTAATTGTTTTCATTTTAAAGGGCAGGTTGAGCTGGTCACACCACCCCAAACTGTTCAACAGGAAAACAAATGGCAATAGAAAGTCTGAGTGGAATCACTTCTTTGATTTAATTGCAGTGTTAAATTCACAAGACGCTCAGAGATAAGGCAATGCAGTTACTTTTCTAAGGGTATGACATTAAGACAACACCAGTGAGAGAGTGAAACACAGGTAACACAATGAGCAGTGGTCAAAATGGTTCATTCAGATGTGGCAGGCAAAAGCTGCAGCTACATGGGACATCCTTTTTCTAAGACAAAAAATTTACTGACTAATTTCTGAGCTGGACATCAGATCGTTTGTCAAGCTGATTCAAATATTCTGTGTGTTCAGATCTGACTGAGCTGTGAAGAAGGAGGCATGATTCTTGATGCAGATTCTGTCAATCTGGTGCTGAGGTTTAAAATGCTGATAGTAAAAATAACTGAATCAGTCCGTCACTAAACAAATAAAGTAGACTTTATCTTTGGGCCTGTTACTGTAGCCAAGTCCAGTAAGTGTACCTGAGAAAATAAGCAAATTAACAGATAGATAAAACAATCCACACTTACAGAAGTCTTACAACTGTGAAGTATCTATCAGTTTTCTGAGCAGCAACGTTCATCACTCTAAGATACACCTGAATGCTACTGCCAACCATATTCAAGTCCATATATACCTTCGATGAGAAAGGGCTTCTTGTCATTGATATACATGAGACAGTAGGCACTGGCATTGCGGTAGCCTCCGAACGAGTCCCTGATCAGCTCCTCCCATGATGACTTAGTAACTGAGATGTCATTGTACTTCATCCAGCAACACTGATGTGGGTCGTAGATGTAAGCCCAGTAGTGGCCTGCATTTGCCTGGCCTTCGTGGACCAGCACTGCATGAAGCCGGTATGGAACCTGGAACAACACAAAGGAGATTTAAAATGCTGATTACCAAATGGAGCAGCTGATGTGGCTTTTTGTATAGTTAAAAAGAGTGATTACAGAAATATACTGCTCACCTGCATCATAGATTTGTCTGAGTACATTAGCTCAATGGTTCTGTGGATTCTGGTTATACTGCCCTGCAGATCTGATCAAAAGAATATCATTTTCATTTTAGTAAGCACCAATCTGTTTATTTTTGCTGTATTATACGGGAATTAACATGCAAATCACCAAGGAACGCCAACAAAGAAAGCATAAAGGGTTGCAATTGGGAGGCAGACAGACTCACCACGGGTGTCATTTTCTACTTCACTTCTCCAACGATGCAAGCAACCCTCAAGCACCCTCAACTCTTCCTCAGTGATGTGGCGTGGGGCAGGGTGCATGGGAAGGTCAGGAGGAAGCCGTGACTGGGTAAAGGGCTTATGAATGGGTAGTCTCTGCTGCTGAGCTGCAGTGGGAGCTGTGGTAGGACCTGAAGCAGGGCCTGAGTTCTCTAGAGGAGGCAAGGAGTCTTGCTCAGCCGTGCTGCAGGGTGAGAGAAATGAATGAGATAATAAAAACAAAACACATACAGAAAAAATTGACCACCTGGTTTGGAGTTCGAAAAAAATCTAATCATACTTGCATGCTCAAAGCAGTAACAGCATCAAGAAAGTCTGACATTGCCAGTAAGGTTAGCTAAGCGCAGAATGACTGCTAAATGGGCTCTGATCAATTCTGCTCAAGAGCATCTCAGCACTGTTTGGAAGGAATGTCACTGTATGGTTTTATTAGAGAGATCAGAATGAAGGTGTATGCCCTTCAGGTTAAGATAAGACATTAAAAAACTGAGGTAAAACTGTTCAATTACATTTTTTCAACCAATATTAGGTGCATAGAGCAAATGGGTTTCCATTATTAGCTCTACAATAACTATTTGGCCAAAGAAAAAAAAACCCACTGTAGTTCCAATGGGCCTCATTCATAAACCACTCAAAACAGATTTATCCATATCATGGGGTGGGGATAGAAATGATCCACAAGAACTTCAATCATGTTCTTCCTTTTTTTTTTTCCTCTTCCTCTTGGGTACCAACAATATTCATAGGTCAGGGCTCCAGACTAACTTTTTCCATTAATAACACTGGTGCTGCTTTCCGAAAACTTTAGAAGTACCAGTACAAAATTTTATCCACACGCAGTGCAACACATTACTGATAAACGCTTTGGTCATCAGAAATAGTATGCTGTTTTATTTTAAAGGACAAAGGACAAAGTGAAGTAGTGATGGATGGGCCCCCATCTTATCCAAGTGCCCTGTCTCTGTCCCCCCAGATGATGAAAAGCATCTTTGGTAGAACAGTGAATTCCTTCAATAGAAATGATTTGTTATCTTTAATTGTTGTATACAATTCAGTATTATTTGGCCACTTTATACTTCTTTATACTTTTGCATCTCAGAGGCAAATTTCGTACTTTTTACTCCACTAGATTTAGTTCACATTAGGCTTCTTTGCAGATTCATACTGTTAATAATAAATTCTGATGAATCATTATAGATTAAGTTAACAGTATATAGCCTACAGTAATTAAAATGAGCCCCACTATTACCAACTGCAACATTAAAGATGAACACATAAATGCACCAATATCATTCCTGCATTTTTATTTTTGGTACTTTTATGTATATTTTGATGCTAAAATTTTCTACTTTTACTTAAGTGACGGTTTGAGAGCAGTACATTTACTTGTAACAAAGTGCTTTTAAACTGTGGTATTACCACTGATCTGAGTACTTCTCCACCACTGGGGTCACAGTGTCTTTTATTGTCATCCAGCCTCTCTCCTGCAGACTGATTAGTAGCCTGCTTCTAAGTGCATCTGTCCCTGTACAGTTTGCTTCTTGCTGTGCTTTACAAGTGTTCTGTGTTTAATGTTTGCAGCTGAGTCAACAAACTTAGATTCCCCCATAAATGTTGGGCCACACTGAGTGCAGTACATAGCCTACACGATGTTCCTTTCTTCTCAGCCCTGTAAACGGGGTGAGCCAATCCTGTCAGAAAGAGTAGATGGTCTTTGCATTTTTCAACACCTGCTGATTCCTGTAGTGGCACTGGAGGGTCTGAATGATCTTTTCTTTTGAAAAACTAATTGATAGTTTGCTTCATGGACACCAAAAGGCAAAGTGGGAGCAAGAGTCTACTTGTGGACCAGACACAGGTGGATGACATCTTGCCCAAAATCATTCCCAAGCCACGGTTTTTAGCCTTGCAATAGCCACACACACACACACACACACACACACACACACACACACACATACACACACGCACGCACGCACACACTCATGTCTCACTGTAGTTGTGAGGGGGAGAGTGAAAAAAACACACACACACACACACACACACACACACACACACACACACACACACTCACGTGTGTGTGAACTTGCAGACAACTATTGTCCCAATACTATGGTTTTGAGTAACGCATTCAGTTACACCACACTGACACACAAAGTGAAAATGAAAATGTAAATGTGTCTTCTATCAACTGAGCTGGACCACAGTTGTAGGGAATGAACTCACTGTTGTGTTTTGTGTTTTTTTTGTCATGTCTCAACTCGAATGGTGCAGAGAAAAACCCTCCCTTGACTAATCACTGCAGCACAAAGCAAACATTCTCTCTCTCTCTCTCTCTCTCTCTCTCTATCACACACACACACACACACACACACACACACACTCTCTCTCTCTCTCCCTCCGACTGTCACTCCCCCCGTGACTAAATGGTTGCTGTCTGGAACCCTGTAACCTACTGTATAAGTAATATATCAAAGTTACTAAAATTCTCACACTCAGACAGACTAACAGCTGATCCAGGATCGTTCTACAAGTCGCTGTCCAGTTGAACATCCTCTGACAGGCTAACATCACCTACACAGTAAGGTATTCTCTCATAATCTCTGTGGCTGTCATATTGATTTGACTGCCTCTTGTGTCAGTTATGGACCACTCTGCCTTACTAAGACTTTACTGAGGGTTCTGCATCTAGCCTCACGTCAACTCAACTCTTCTGTCACTATACAAGTGATAACATCCCCTAATATGACTATCGTATCAGCTAATTTTTAAAAGATTTTATCTGCTGATTTCCAGTGCAGCGTTATGCTCTGCAATGTGAAGTTCTTCTTTTTACTCACATTTTGCAAATGAAACATGTCTACAAATCAAGCATATAGTCTTATAGTTAATTGTCAAGTCTATTGGGCATGCATCGATTCATTCAATAGGTGGCACTCATCTAGCTCAAATTAGCAATTTATGACAAGTTTGTATAGTTCCTTGGAACACTAATAGAAGCAAGTAAAAAGATTTAGCATAGGAATGTGAAAACATTCTTGAATAAGGCCTGTCATTTCCATATTTTCCTGTCCCTGTTCCTAAAACCTAAAAGAATGATACAGAAAAGACACTGAGGACAAACTTCAGGCTGTCTGTTGCTTAACTTGCCTTGGTGGGGGCTGCTGTTGTCCCGTAGTGCCACCGGGAGGTGCTGATGAGTCAATGTCCTCCACAGGGGAGGTGCACACTGGCTTACTGGAGGCAAACTCCATGGCATACTGGAGGACATCTGCCAAAGGAAACCTCTTGGGGCCTGAGCCATAACTCAGATACCTGAGAGAAAACATAAAGAAATAGTGGGTGTCACAGAGATGGAGGGAAGCTGAGGAAGAGAAATAAGAAGAGAGGGCTTTCTGAGAAACAAACAGAGGGACCAGTCAGAGTGGAACTTGCTAGTAAACACGCAGTACCTCTCTAGTCGCTGCTGGAGCAGCGTCAGATGCTCTTTTAGCCTCCTGATCTCCTCCCTCTTGATCCTGGTTATTTCCCTGTTCCTGTCCATGTACCTAACAACACAAAGATCACAACCGACAATGTCTTAAAAAGACTTGGGATTCATTATTATTTATAGCAGAGACAAATTCTGCAATGTGTTAAGAGTGTTGGTACTTCTATCACCTGTCCATGTAGAGCATAGAGGGGAACTCAAGCTTGTTGTGGATCTTCTCAGGTCGTCCTAGTGCTTGGTTGAACTCAAATCTTGACAGCTCAAAAGTCAATACAGGAGGGAGTTCTGTAAACCAGTGCTGAAACAAAATTGGATATTGCTAGTGAGACTGATTCTTTATCACATTAGAATATAGAGTTTGTTTTAACTTGTTTCTTAAAAATCTGTTCATTTCCCCTTAGAGAAGATTGTTTGGCTCCTTGTCTGTATAATGTGGAGATAATTCCCCTGCACACCTTCCAGGGGAAATCCCTGTATTCCTATGACTCCTACCATCACTGATGCTCCTCCCCTCTCTCCTGCTGATGGTGCTGATGGCTGTGCTTTTCCAGAGAGCTGGGTGCTACAACCATCTGTGAAGTGCCTTATATTTAGCTGGTTCCAGCTACCATGGAACAGCATAGGCAAGGCTACCACTAACCAGAGGTCAAACTCAGAATAGCACAGATGTCAAGGGCAAGGAGGTTGAACCTTTGGAGACAATCCATCACATATTCCCAAATTATTTAACCTGATTGTTTTCTCTTAAGTGGTAATGACAGATGCTGAATGGTAATTGTTTTATGAAAGAATTAAGAACTGTAGCCTTTTCACTTAGTGTTGGGCAACAATAAAAAAATAATTGACTTGACACACGGCTACTGACAAATGATAACTTATAATGATAACAAATACTTAAATGTTTCAAAACCAATTATTTAATTTTATGTTATGTGATGCAATTACATGTTGATAGAAAGATTACTTCATATGCCCTTGAGGAGATATTGTTAGCTAACAAGTGACACAAATACATGGAAATCCATGTGTCTAATGATTAATGTCAGTAATATTTTCCTAGCAAAATGTTATGCATGCTGTGACCGTTCTCATAGTCACACGGGCATTAGTTATTGCTGGTACGGCTCTAACATTTCATCTGAGAATGAAAATAATCTTTGTTTTATTTATTTATTTATTTAGAGCCTCTCAGAATTTCCATCAAAACAGTTTAATGGAATCAAAAGTTGCCATCTTCTTTTAGCACTGACCTCTTGTCCAGACCTCGCGGTGTTTTCTGCTGAATGCAGGGACTCGATCTCACCCTCGATCATTGCTGCCTCAAGACACTCATGGAGATCCTTGAAGCCATTCACCTGCAGAGGGTACTGCCCAAACATCTCTGTATTTTCAAATTTTTTACCTGTGGAATTGCACACGTACAAGAGAGATTAACAGATGAGCACTAATAGCCATAACTGCTAAACCAAATGAAAGGGCACCTGAAAACAAGAGGAGTTATAATATAATAGGAGGCTGGCGTGTGGCCTTTTTCAAACTACAGTATTTATAGCTGTCGTCACATGTGACTGAAAGATCATATACATCATTTTATTTACATACTGTAGATTTAAAGGTGCATCAGGGAGACAAAAGAGTTGAAAATGTGAAAAAGTTCATAGCAGGAGCTATTTTACACCAACCTGCATTTGTATTAAATTTCACTTGTTTAGCTGTCACTCAGTCATGACTACTTAAAGCAACTGCAGAGAGCTGCATGGACCAACAACAAAGAGGAGGAGAGGGGTTTCTAGTGGACATGCAGATGAGGCATTAAGGTCATTTTATGTGCAGCCTTTGCTGGCTCTGGGCCAATATTGTCATGCATAATAAGCACAATGTCACTCAGCCGTCAAGGTCTTCTGTGATCAATGCAACAGCTCTGCTCTTTTACACAGATCACATCTCATTAAGACAAGGTCACCTTTCATTACTAGGAGCAAGAACTCGGTTGTTTTCTGGCTGCTGCATTCAGACCATCATAACGTTTCATCATAATCTGTCTGTGATTCTCTAGCTACCCTTCACTTTTCTCTTTTTTTGGTTTTAATTTAACACCTCATCTCACCTTCAAGGACACCCACAGCAAGGAAGCGACCATAGAAAAGCTCCACCATGGGGTTCTTTGGCTTCTCACCCTCCCTGAAAACAAAAAAGTGGGGTCCAAAAAAACAGGACACAGCTGTTTACAGGAGGTGTCTGATTCATTTGAATGTAAAAAAAAAATAAAAATAAATTATATTTAAATTCTGTGCTTCAGAATTTGCTGCCCAGTAACACCATGTCCTACTGTATGTCCATTCTATCCACAGTGACCTCGGATTTAAAGAACTGTGGATACCTGTCTTCTTCAGCCTTCATTTGAAAGGCATCCTCCAGCCAGTCCAGCAGCTTGTGGGTGAACTCGCTCACATCCTGCTGTTGAGTAAAGCACAGACATATGTACAAAATTACATATTCAGAGAGTCGACTTACACGACGTACGTTCACATTAACGCAACTCCCTGGTGTGTTTTAATGCACAGGGCTGCGATGTTTGGGGGGGTGAGGGGTCGTAGGGGGAGTGTTGTAGGTATGTACAATATGGCCATATTGAAACAAGTTGACGGGAGTGGCTTCATTCACATTTCCAGCCCATGAGCTTCCCTTGTTCTGGTTAGCCATGCTGCTAATGTAGCTTACTCTACCATAGTACCAATTCTGCCACCTGTGTCTGTGCTGATAGATAAAAAGACATTTAGCATTCAGTACTAATGAAAATGCATGGTGTGCTGTTATGGTGTTAACTGTGGCTCAAATTTGACAGTGAAAAGCAGCGAATGCTCATACTAACAAGATGAACAAAAGAGCCTTCTTCCTGTGGGCATCCATTTTCCTGATCATCCCCCGTACGTGACTGATCTATGAGGCGCCTTTGCCAGATGATGCCACCGTCCGGTCCAGTACGGTGAAGGTGAAAATGGCATAGAAGGTCACACACTGATGTGTGAACACTTCCATGTAGTGATGATGTTTTCATGTTGGTACATGTTTTTTTTTTTTTTTTTAATGCCATACGTAGTACTGTGTGTTCTTCCCAAACAATTCCACCTTCGTTTCATCTGTCCACGGGATATTTTAACAGTAAGTGTTGTGGAGTGTCAAGGTGGTCTTTGGTAAACCTCAGGGATGCTACAGTGTTTTTGGAGAGCAGTGGCTTCCTCTGGGGTGTTTTGCCATGGATACCATGCCTGTTCAATATTTTGCAAATGGCTGACTCATGAACTGAGAAGTTAACCAACTCCAATGACTCCTTCTGGTCTTTAGCTGTTACTCTAGTGTCCTGTGTTGTGCCTTTGGAGTGATCTTGGCTGGGCGCCCACTTCTATGGAGAGTAACCACAGAACCAAATTGTCTTCATTTGTAGACAGCATGTCTAACTGTGGACTGATGACTATCTGAAGTCTTTGAGATGAATCTGTAACCCTTACCAGCTACATGCAAATCAACAACTCTTGATCGTTTTTTGCAAGGCATGGCTGACATCAGCTGATGCTGCTTGTGAATAGCACACGACATTGAGTGTTTTTTTTTTTTTTTTAAGTCAAGATAAACCACATCTCCATTCTCTTTTGATCGACTGGACTCCGGGCTTACTAACACCTGTGACTTTGGTGAAGATCAGATCATATTTCATGACCAATTTATGAAGAAAACCAGGAAATTGCAAACCGTGCCATGACTTTTTCTTGCGACTGTATGATTTTGTTGTATGTATGTGGATGTCTGTACGTCCTGCCATATACAGTAAAAACACTAGATTCCTTCACATGAGGTGATTTTAATTTGATTTGATTTGATTTATTCTTTCAAGCATGTAAAGACAGTTATGTCAACACACATAATTTTACACATATCCATCAAATGCTAATCCAATATCAATTTGCTTATACCTAGTACATGCTTGAATGGAGTAGGAAGAAGTCAGACTTATCTAGTCCTACCCCATGACATCATCTTACCATCATTGGTTTGCAAGCAGTATCTCTACATAAATAATTCTCTTCTAGATCGTAGGTCTTCTGAGATCCCTTTTTTGCAAGGCATGGCTGGCATTAGCTAATGCTGCTTGTGAAAGCACATGACACTGTTTGAGTGTGAATGTACAAGGTAGCTCTAAACCACACTTCCATTCTTATCTCATGGACTGGACTTTTTGCTAACACCTGACTACAGTTAGCATTTAGTGACATTAGAAGCCTGGTGTTACCGTGACTTTTCCCCACCATCACTTTGTATGTTTAATGGGTGTGTTCAATAAAGTTATTAAAGATCATGACTGTTTGTGTTTTATCAGCTTAAAAAAATACTGTTAGTTGATATTTGTGACTTTGGTGAAGATCAGATCACATTTCATAACTAATTTATAAAGAAAACCCAGAAACTGTGTCATTACTTTTTCTTGTGAATGTAGGTTAAAAAGGATGCCATTTTAAAGGAGGCTTAACTATTGCTAAATGCTGTAGGGCATGCACCCAGCTGCAGAGAGTGATTATTATCTGTTAGAAATTCCTCGCATACTGAACTAAAAACCTTTATTAAAAAGGAGGTCTAAATTCACTTCAGTGTTGTTGCTACTTTTGTAAGCAATGCAGGAAACTCAACCAGGTCTAAACTGGCATGGGGTGCCATGTTTTCCAACAAGCAATATGGGTTCTATCAGTGGTGAAAAGGTTGCAGTCTCCCTGACTTCATCAGTAAAAGACATTAATACCATAAAAAGAACAATCTCTCACCTTTTTTGCAATAATGATGTCTGTTCATTGAACACTGCCTATACAAAGTGAAAGTTATTAGAATGAGGCTTACCTGCTGCAACTCACTAGACTTGAAGGCATCTTTGAGGATTTCCACAGCTCGTGATGGATCCACGTATTTTCTCTTGGACCCCAGCATGAGGGAGAAGAGGTTCCTCAGCTCCTGCATGAAGGGCAGGTTCCTGTGCTCCTAGTCGGAGTAACATAATGAACAATGTAGTCAATCAAACTTCACAAATCTATGTTGCTTATCTCAGAGGAAAGATGCACCAATTTCTCACTGAAACACTGATCATAAAGATACACACTATAAATATCTCTGATTATTTTTGGAGGTAATGCTCCAATAGTGCACCAATATATAGTAATGCTAGATGGTTAATTGACTGCATGCTTTGTTTATTCACTGTATTTTCTCTGTGTCAATCTGTTTAGAGGAGAGAGGGGCTGCTCATGATAGTTTGCTTCATTGACTATCATTACTTCATTACAAACACATGGTGTTTGTAATGCGAATGCTTGAGGTGTGAAGATGTGGACACTTAGCAAATCATCAGCGACTGCTCAGCTAGTATGAGAAATTTATCAAACAGCTGCTGAACAAGCAGAACAGACTTGCAGAAATGTGACATATTCACCCCTTTGCCCACGGTCTACTCACTGAAGTCCCCATTTCACCTCTAATCCAAAAAGTGAAGTCCTCGTTTTACCTCTAAACCAGTATAGGCACCTCTTTACACACCGTGCTAGTGATGCTTATGCTTGAGGTATGAAGAGTGGACATTTAACCAAACAAGTGACTGCTCTGTGCACATGCATAACAGCAACAGACGTTTCTGTGCTAGTGAGTCAGGGATGTTGATATAAAGAATAACATCTAAGCTCTTGTAGTCTTATACAGTTCAACTAAAAGGTCAGTGATTAGGACCAAGGGAACTTAAATGAAGAAAGGACTGCCGCAAACCACACTTCTGCAGCAGAGGCTTAGACTAGATTAGTGACAGGCTACTAACCCTATGGTGAGCACTCTATAAGGAAAATACTGGCAAACTACTGTACAAATATGGTAAATGGACTGTATTTACAGGTATGTGCCAAAAAATTAGAATATCGAGGAAAAGTCCATTTATTTCAATAATTTGTTTCAAAAAGTAAAACTTGTATGTTATATTAGTTCACTACACACAAAGTGAAATATTTCAAGCCTTTATTTGTTTCAATTTTGATGATTATGGATTAAAGACAAAAAAAAAACCAAATCCAGTATTTCACAAAATTAGACAATATGACAAAGTTCAACATTGTAGGCTCCCTGTGTCCCAATCTAGTCAGCTAGTTAATGCAAAACAACTGCAAAGGTTTCCTCAGCCTTGAAATTGTCTCAGTCTGGCTTAGTAGGCTTCAGAATCATGGGGAAGACTGCTGACTTGACGGTTGTGCAGACGACCATCATTGACACCCTCCATAAGGAGGAAAAGTCTCAAAAGGCAATTGCAAAAGAAGCTGGATGCTCACAGAGCGCAGTATCAAAGTATATTAACAGAGTGTTAAGAAGAAGGGAAGAATGTGGCCGGAAAAGGTGCAAAAGTGACAGGGATGACCGCAGCCTTGAGAGGATTGTCAAGCAAGGGCGATTCAGAAATCTGGGGGAGCTTCATAAGGAGTGGACTGAGGCTGGTGTCAGTGCATCAAGAACCACCACATACAGACGTCTGCATGACATGGGCTACAGCTGTAGAATCCCATGCGTCAAGCCACTCCTGAACCAAAAACAACGTCAGAAGCGTCTGTGCTTGGCTAAGAAGAAACAG